GATGGAATGAGATAAACATCATTGCCCTAAGTACATTTATATGAAGACAAATGGTGTGACTCTACTTTGTGTACAATCAGAGATATGAAAAAGTGTTCCCTGTATAATATGAATTGTAATGCATTCTGCTGTCATATTAAAAAAAATAAGTGGGGTCAGGGGAGTGACTCAGTGGCACAGCACTTGCCTACTATGGATGAGGCCCTGGATTTGACACCCAGCACCACACACATACACACACACACACACACACACACATACACACAAAGCAATACATACAATGAAGATGTTAACAGTATTCTCAAAGTATTTGTGGTAAAGGAACCATTTTATTAAAGTTCTATTCAGTCACAGACTTATTATTTTACAAAAACACAATAAAAATAATCACTAGAAAAATGAAATTTAGCAAAGCAAGAATATGTAAAATACAGGCTGCAATTTTTGTTATTTGGTTCAAAAAACAATGATACAGTTTCAATAGACATAAAAAAATCAGAACAAACATAACATTGAACAAAGTTTCTACATGCTAATCTTGATTTTTGTTTTTAATGCAGTAACAAAAAATTGGGGGTCAGCATTCTGAATAACAGTGATTTATATATAGCACAATGACATTTATATAGTTTAAGAATATGCACACATATATCCATGATTAATAAAATTCCAACAGATAAAGAAATGCATATCAAATCTGTTAGAATCCTTGATTATTCAGAGGAGAAGGGGAAAGGAAGGAAATTTAAATAGATTAGGATTAATCAATCAATCAAGAGACTAATTCAGCACAGAACAATGAGAATTGTGTATTAGGAGGGTGCTTCTGAGGGTGTGCATATGTCCCTCCCTGCCACACCCCAAAGAGGTAAAGGAAATATAGTCTTTCTCTCACGCATGGCCTCTTTCAAGAATTTATTGTTGCTCATCTATTCATTTACTATCTTTAACTTTTATCCTGGCTCTTTTTTGAGCTAAATCAAACTGATAAGAAACTATCAGGTAGACACATTTTCCCACAGCTAAATATTCTCTCTTACCATTGGAATAAACCAAATATATTTACCATACATTCTTTGTCCGGTTTATAACAATCTTATAGTGAAAGAATGTAGGATCTGGGAAAGATCTCAAATATGCCATGAACACTTACATTTCTTCATTCCCTACTCATTTTTCACCCACCCACACATCTGAAACATAATCTATAAAATATAACTATTAAACATAACAAAATTTGGAAAAAGCTACAGCACTTCAGAGGTATATTTTTAAAAAATTGATACTTGGCCAATTGATTCTGTCTTTTGATATAAAATCTTTTCCCTGTTGCTGCATGACTTAATGTCTATGCATCAGAATTTTTCTTTCAGAAATTTCCCCCTGCAGGTTTATGAAAGTGTTGGACCTTGTACATCCGGTTTGCATTTAGTCTATTTTTCAGTGACTCAAGTTTTTGTATGCTTAAGAAAGTCAAGGGGAGAGATGAGCAATAGTTTTCTGAGATTTGAGAAATTGTGAAGAAAAAGAATCTATAATCTCCCAAACTCTTCTTTACTCTTGAAAGTAGATTTTTTAAAATATTTATTTTTTAGAAGTAGTTGGACACAATATCTTTATTTTGTTTATTTATTTTTATGTGGTGCTGAGGATCGAACCCAGGTCCTCACATGTGCTAGACGAGCACTCTACCGCTGAGCCACAATCCCAGCCCCCTTGAAAGTAGATTTTTAAAAGTTCTCTTATCAAGATAAGCCTTTCAATTCCTACTTCATTTGTGAAGACCTGGTCCAATTGAGTCTGGAAGTATTTCTCATGCTTTCTTCCTTAAATTATAGTCTTTCAATGCTCACCATTATATATTGATATCTAAATATAAATTTGAAGTTAATCTATTTTTCTCTACCTTGCTGAGTTTTAAAATTAACTGCAAAATTAAAATTTATATTCATTATAATAATCCAAACAATATGGGGAAGTCTAAAGAAAAAATTACTGTTCCCTTTCTATCAGTGATAGATTATCCAATATGTAGAGCAAATATGTACTTTGGACACTCACAAATATGGGGTACTTCAAAACTATTTTGAAAGACTGTTATAATTAATATATCAGAAGAAGCATCAGACAGGTGATTATAAAAAATCAGAAATGTTGGTAATTTATTTATTATTTCATTACATTTTATATAATAGATTGGGAAGAACAAATATGTACAAATAATGTGCATATGTCAAGATTATATTTTATTCAAAATGTACAGTTTTTACATAATTGTCATTGTAGAATTATTTTGTCATCTTTAAATTTTGTTTATTATTTTGTAAATGTTTCCATGTTGATATAGATATTATTCTTACTATGTGGTTATTATATTCTATTCCATTGTACTAATAAAATGTCTTACTTATTCATTCTTCCACTGTTAATATTTTCTAAATTTCTCATTGTCATTAAAGTTATGACTATTATTATATTGCTGTATATAATATTTTCTTATTTTTCTCTCCTTTTTCTGTTTCTTTTCCTTTTCTTCTTTTCTTTGTGAGGGTTGGGGCTCTGGGATTGGACCCTGGGCCTTGTGCATGTTAAGCACCTCCTCTCCACTGAGTTACATCCCCAGGCTTCTTAAACAAAAAAATATATATATTTTTTTCTCAATAAAATATTACTCAACCTTAAAGAAGAATGAAATTATGGCATTTGCTTGTAAATGAGTAGAATTGGAGAATATTATGCTAAGAGAAATAAGCCAATCCCCAAAAAAACAAAGCTGAATATTTTCTCTGATATGTGGTGCTAATTCAAAATGGGGTGGGGGAAGAATGGAAGTACTTTGGATTAGACAGAGGGGATCGAAGGGAGGGGAGGGGTATGGGAGAAGGAATGATAGTGGAGTGAACTGGACATTATTACCCTACATGCACATATGATTACTCAACCAGTGTAACTCTACATCATGTACAACCAGAAGAATGAGAAGCTATACTCCATTAATGTATGATATGTCAAAATGCATTTTATTGTTATGTGTAACTAATTAGAATAAATAAAAAATGTTTTTAACTGTTCTTAGGATAAATCACAGGAGTGATATTATTGCACTAAAACTTTGAAATATATAACTATTTCTATTCATGATCAAACTGATACTCTAAAAGATTTTGTAATTGCACGAAGCGTAGATAGACTCTGCATTCTGATTTTAGAAATAGTGTGGAGCATGACCAGGTGGAATAGGCAAGAAGGAACAGGAAGCAGGTTATTGCGATTCTTCTGGCGTGAGATGTGTTTGTTGACTAGAGGCAAGAACTATAGAGAAGGAAAGGATTCTACTAAATATTTAGGACTTGACAGACAGATCAGTCAGTGGACATGAAGGAGGAGGGAATGAGGAAGCCTAGAGGATGTCCCTGTCTTTTTGGAACATAAGAACTGATGGAAAAGAATAGGCTTGAGAGAGAGGAAGATGTCGAGCACATTTTGTGCCACACCCGTAATGTCTAGCACAGGAGCTAGTGCATTGAAGGTACTCAATAAATGGGAGTTGAAGGAACACTGTGCATGCATAGACAAATGAATACTGCAAACAATGAATCTAAGTTCTTATTTCATTTTTAATTTGTTCTTTTTAGTTATACATAACAGTAGGATGTATTTTGACATACCATACACACATGCAATCTAACTTTCCATTCTTGTGGTTGTTACACTGGTCCTGTATTCATATATGAACATAGGAAAGTGATGTTCAATTCATTCTACTGTCTTTCCCATTCCCATCCCCACTTCCCCCCATCCATATTCCGATTTTCCAGAGTCACAGCATTTGTTTGTATACCTAGAAGTTGATTTATTGTTTTGTTTTGTTTTTACTTCCTCTAAGATTATTTTAAAATCAGGACTTGTGAGAACCAGAAAATGAGTGAATTAGGAAAGAAATTGTGGGAAGGAAGACAATTCAAAGCCAAAGCTCAGGACTTCAGATCAATTAGATACTTCCTTCATAAAATCAGTTTAGAGCTTTACGCAGTCAACCAAATGTCAAGTTACACAGATTTATGAACTTCCTTAAATAGTCAGCAGCTTCTGAATTCAAGCTGCTAAAGTATCATTATCTCTGATTTGGAATGAGGAGATGGTTCCACTCCCCTCCCCTCCTGGTTCATCAGTGAGAGACTGAGCAGATGGTTCCTCACAGTGCTTTGCTCTGAACTGTAGGTCTCTCTGATTGAACCCATGTGGTGGCCTGTATTTGAAGTTCAACACTGCTGCTGGAAGAATCCCTCAGCAGATTTCTGTTGCCAGCTGCTCTTTGGGTCCCATGTACCTGAATTACCTGATGTGTTCTTATATCAATTTTTTTCACTTTGGGTTACAGCACTTCAAGTGTCTCATATTCCCTGAAGAGAAAAGCCATGACTTCATTTCCTCTGTAATTTCCCCCAGGCAGGTACAATGTTTAGCATCAAGGGTGAGTTCAGCAAAAACTGATGACTGTTCAATTGTAATGACTAAGTGGATGAAAAGTGATGGTTTTTAATGTTCAATAAAAGATATCATGTGTCTAGTCTTAGGAAACAAAATGTTTATTGAAATGCATGTAGATAAATTACCACCAGCACAAAACTGTTAATGGAGTTTTCAACGTGAGTTCGTTTTACTCTTAATATGAAGTGAGGCTTTGAAAGTCCATTGTCCCATAGGAAAAATATTATATTTTTCTGTTCAGATAAAGTCCTTTAAAAAAGCAAATCACTTTTGAATGGTCTTTTAAACGTCTCCAGCCTATGAATATATAACAAAACAAAAGAATATATTAAAAAAGATATAATTCTCTGTTTAAAAAAGAATTAAATATGACTGATTTGGGGGTAATATACATGAAAACATACTCAGGCATTTGAAACTCTAAAATTTTCTCCTATTTTATTAGTACATACAAAAATATTTATGAAATAATAAAACCCAAAAAAGCAACAAAATAAAATGACAAATAATCATAACAAGGCAAAAAAAAAGCCATAGTTTTATTTTTATATATTTAGGAAATAAGTCCAAATGTTATCTCCTCAAATAAGCAATTTTTAAAATAACTCTGATTTCAGTAATTTGGGAATACAGTCTGATGTGAATTTTTATTTTTTCATTGAAGCCCAAATATCCTTTTAAGAATAATTAAAATTAAAAAATACAGTAAAGGAAGATAGGAAAAGACTTTCAGAAAATGTCTGAAACATTGTGTGAGTCCATAGAAATTAACAGTTATCACTCTACCATCTCTGAGAAAAATGATTTATTCATCTTCTATTTCAACATCATGTTCTGGCCTGACCTGTTTGGCACCCCCCAGGTGATGTTGCTGTCCATCTGTAATGGAGAGTCTGTTGAATGGGATTATCTTCATGGTGGTTTTCTTCATGGAATACCAGCGGCTTTTCCAAGTGGCCCAAATAATTCCATTATCATAACCATTAGGGGTAGATGCTTTTGAGTAAGTGCCACCTAAAAAGAGTAGTGGACACACAAATCATTACTCTTGCATTTGCTTCCCTCAGACAGTCTAAGAAGAAATGTCTACTGTGATGTGCATTGCCAGTTTCATCAAGTTTGCAAGTGTTATCTATTAACTAAAAGTGTCTCTAAAGATTCCTAAAATCTCAATTTATAATTAAATTTAGTATTTGACAATGCTGTCTATCTGAAGCATGCTTCATGGTCACAGCCATTCTCTAAATTTATTCACTGCTAATAGAGCCAGAACAAAGTTCCCTACTTGGTCTCTCTCTTTCCCTAAGCTTCACCATCCTGGACTCAGCTATTATGGACAGTCTTTCCTCAGGCTGGTTAGAATGCAGGATCCCCAAGATTCCAGATCAGGTAGTCTGTGGTTATGGGACAACACGATTCTACTGGTTCATTGAAAAGAGGTTTTAGAAAATGGTTCTGGAATGTTATTTTCATCTTTATTATAATCTCTATAGTGACTAGATTAATTTGCCTTCTTGTTCCTAGGTACCAGAATTCATGATTTTGTAAGGGGATGGTTGAGTCTAATACTGGAGTGGACTAAAGTCTGTCTACATGGCTACCCTGAGTCATATGGATCAAGCACCTTCCTAGAGAGTTTCTTCCAAACATAGTTTCTCCTGGTGCAAAGATATATTGGTTTCTCCAAGTAAAAAAATAAATAAATAAAAATGTTGGGAGAAACCAAGTTACTTTAAAGAATCTTTGAGAAGATTTAAAGTTGGCTGTAGGACAATGGCTACTAGAGATAAGGCTGCTTATAAGTAGATGAGATGAGTAGCCATATTCTATGTTTGCTAATGAATCCTTTAGGATCCATTTGTAGGGCCTCCCCAGGCATAACTGCTGAGCAGTAAGTCAAACCAGTGGTCCAAATCATTCCACCCTTATAGAAAACATAGCCTACCCCATCCTAAAATAAGTGTCTACAAACCCTAAGCATGACTTTTCTCATGCATTCATGAATCCTTGCCCTTAATAGTACTTTCCTTTCCTTCATTCCACTTCTTTAGACACTTACCCACTGTTCACTGGTTGTATCTGATACATATAATTCACGGGAAGCTGAGCCAGGCTAATGTGCTAATAAGTACAAATATGGTAATGTTAGCCCATCCAGATCACATATATGGTATGTCTAAAGGAGATACTGTAACCCAAAGTTTCAAGTCTGATGGTGATAGTTTTAGGTATAATGACAAACCACTGGGTATTTTGCAGTAGGTGGTTGTCCTATTTTATGCACAGTCTTGGTATTTTCCAATTCTGGTTTCAAATAAAGACCTATATGATAAAAGACCTACTATCCTTACAATTATTCCTCTTTACTTTGTATCTATTTATTACACTTTGTAAAATGTACATATTCTACACTCACTTGGAACCTAAGAAAGAAAGCCGTACCTTGGTAATAAATTCCATTGAGGTGGCCAGCATGACACTTGTTCATCCACCAACCAGATCCATCCTGTTCAGCACAGTTGCCTTCGAATTTATCATTGTCATTGTCCCAGGTGCTGAACTGCATACCATTGTGGGATGTGAAAAACTTGTCACTAGGATCATCACCAAAATCAAAGCCATCGAAGGCATCCCCAGCATCTCCACCAATGAAGTAGGCATAGGTCAGGCGGTATTTGTCAGTTTCAGGTCCCACCTTGAACATGGCATAATCTGCAGTACTGTGAAGAAGGAAATAGAGACATCACATCCTAAGCCTCCTCAGGAAGTTCAGAAGGTCCTGTTTCCCTCAGGCAGCTGCTTTGTCACTTTGTTTCTTAAGACAAATAGGCACATTGAGAAGAGTTTTCTACAAATGTGTGAACCAGTTCAGAGTTCAGCAACTCTGCTCAGGAAGGGTCTAGAAGACTTCAAGGAGTCTCAGTGAAAAGTAAACACTTCACTTATTTGAATGCTTTTTTACTTATAGATAGGTTCCTAATAAAACCAAAATTTGACTAATTTCATATTTTCCCTTTCTATTTTAGTATTTAGCCTTGCATACAATGCTATCATAGATCACCCTAATGATCTGATTATGAGCATGAGTTAATGCTCAGGAAGGAGATACAGCTAGTTCCCTTACCCATTCATACCACCTGAAGGGTAAGGTCTAAACAGGGTCTTCTTTCCCAAGGCAGTAGGGCAGAGGCAAGAAGGAGGGCTATCTAGGACATCATAGAAACTAAGCAGTACCTGTGTAGTCCACAAAAAATGAGCTACAGGAGTCAGAGAGAGATTCTCCACTGGGAAAAATTGGGAAAGAAATCAAATTCTATGGAGTGGAGGGAATAATGAGTCTCAGGAATGAACAGAGATTTCCAGAAAATATTTTATCTTCTTCCCTAATCTACAATACTAGGAAAAAGGGAGATGATCTTATAGGAAAAAGTCTACTGACTATAGTACTTTCATACCACCTGAAGAGTTAAAAAAAACAACTATAACAAATCTTTGTGTTTAGAGACAGAATCTGTTTCATTATTCCATAAACATAGTAAGATGGTTGAATGTTTTTATTCACTTGAATTAGGTCTACAAACTCAAAATTCTCAGGTACCTCTAAGTCTAGAGAGGGCTGTAGATCACCAAGGGAGCCAGCTGATTTTATTTTATGATAACCAAGGAGCTGACAGAATGAGTGGTTATTAAACAAATGGGAAATCTAAAGAGGCTGAATTCACTTTCATTCAGGAGACTCATGAAGTCAAACTTCCTGAATTCATAACCCACCTCTACCATTTACCAGCAATGTTAGTTGATAAAGTGGGATTAATAATGATACCTGCTTTTGGGATGGTCATTTTGATTAAATTAGATTTAATATCATGCTCATTTTCTGGTACCTATTAAAATCTCAGCAATTAGCTATTGCTCTGAATGTTTCCAGGGTAAGTAAATTATACAAAAACATTCAGATCCATTACAAAGAGAACCTTCCTCTTTGGACTGCCCAAGAACCAAACTGTTCCTCACATATACCAGGCTGTTTTTTGCCATCCATCTATTGAGAGTTGGAAAGGGCACATGTATGGATGACCTCTACAAAAAAAAAAAAAAATCCTTAAAGTTCTTTCTGCACAGTACCTGGTTCTGCCATTCCAGTCTTCCAATTGCACTCTGAGTGCATACGGGATTTGAGACTGTGTGCTTATCAAGTGAATCTTCTCATTTCCCAGCCAAAACTCAGTGGTGCCAGTAGGAGAGAGATGGCCAAATCCTTCTTTATACTGAATCCAGTTCTTCTTGAAATCCACACTGCCGTCCAGTCTCTAATTACAGAATGGCACAAGGGGAGAGAACAGATATTGGTGCATGTCAAGAAAATATCATCAACATCCTGTCAAAAATATGGAGGTTATAAGTGTATTGACTAGCAATGAAGTGACATGGGCAAGATGCCTTGGTTTCCTTATCTATCAAATCGGGCTTTTTAGGGTTGCTGTGAGGATTTCATGATAGATATTAATGAAACACTTTAAAGAGTGCTCAGTACATGGTGAATTCTGAACTAGTGGTAGGTTTTTTTTTTTTTTTTTAAAAAAAAAGACCCCTGGAGGACTTCAGAACTCGAGCTAGACATTATTGATTCCATGTGCTGATGGTGGAATGCAGCCCTCTGAGTGCCCCTGCACCAGTAGTTTAACAGTGGCAGGAAGTAAATAAGGCAAGGGAGCCAGGATCCTCAGTGGCTCCCAGTGACTGGCAGAGGCCACAAGAGGCCTTGGAGTAGCCCACCTGTATCTTCTGGGGTGGGGGCTCTTCTTCTTATGATGGCGGTCCTTGGTCTTAATATATCTGATGAAAGAGGTCTCTTCTATTTTTTTGTGACCAAAGGACTTTGCTTATGTGCCATCATAAATCTGCAGCAGTGATACCAGCCATATTGAGTGAAAGCCAAGACACTGAAACCACACTGCCTGGATTCAAATCCTCACTCTGTTACTTATTACTTATGTGATTTGGGGCAAGTTACTCTACCTATCATCCTCAGTTCCCTCCTGAGGGTTAAGTAACTTAATGTTCACAAGGTACTTTGACAAGCATCTGTCATATGGCAGCACCAATGTGTACATTTATTAAACACAGATGAAAGGGGAAAATTACCTTCTGTAGCACAGTCCATCCATTTCCAGAGCCATCAATTTCACAGTAGACCAAGAACTGCTGCTTTGCTTTCAGAGGCTTGATGAAGTAAAGGCCACTCTCTTTGGCTCCCTTATTGGCAATGTCTTGACAATCTGAAAAGGGAAAATAAGAAACATTTACTGTGGTTTTAAATCCAGGTAAGATTGTGCTAGCCTCAAAAATGAGATGAAATGAACCTGTTTTCAACTCTTCATTTCCCAAGAGGAATATAATTTACATTATGTACATTCTTACATCATCAGTCCTTTCAAACTATTGTTTGCTACTCAAGAATACTCTATACTATTGGAATCCTTAGACACTTTAAGAGCTAGATACTCACTAGGCAAGGAGCAGCATGCCTATAATCCTAGAGACTCAGGAGACTGAGGCAGGAGGATTGCAGATCTAGACTAGCCTCAGCAACATAGCAAGACCCTGTTGAAAGAAAGAGAGAGAGAGAGAAAGAGAGAGAGAGAGAGAGAGAGATAGAGAGAGAGAGAGAAATGAAGGAAGAAAGAAAGAGGAAAAAAAGGAAAGAAAGAAAGAGGGAAAGAAAAGGAGCTAGAAGGGTTGGAGATGTGGCTCAGTGGTAAAGTGCCCGTGAGTTTAATTCCCAGTACTTCCCCACCCCCCAAAAACAGGAAGGCGGGGAAGAGTGGAGGGGAAAGCTAGACACTTTCTACATTATTCCTATACATTCCCTTTTACTTTGTCTATTTGCTTTGATGAACATGATCCCAATATAAACCTCTCATTTACCTTTCCCAGTTGTATCATAGATTTGTACTGTGTCTTTGCAAGGCTCCTGGCACTTGGCTTCAAGCTGGGCTACTTTCTGTTTCAGGTTAAGGATCTTCTGATTATTTGAATTATATATTTCCTGCAAAAATCTACAAAGTAAACAACGAGATAATAAAAGATAAGCATTCCTTTCGTTGGAGTAACTTTGTATTTTCTCTTAGAACTACTATCTTATTTTCTTAAGACTTCCCTTTTGGGGAAATTTGCAAAATTATGTTAATAAATTGAAATGAATTAAAATGCTAAGCTTTTTGGGCAAGGAAATCAACTCCACACCCGCTTCCCCAAGTAATAAAAACAGGAATACAATTTTTTGCCAGAATCTTTTTATCCAGAAACAGACATAAAGTCTCAACTCTGAACACAAATAACAAAGTCCATATCAATATACAAAGGTCATCACTAAGTGGTCGTTCTGATTTTCAGTTTATGCTTAAAGGAGAGCAGGTAACAGCCACGTGAGATGGGCCTGGTTAAGGGAGACACCTCCTGGCCATTTGGAAGCAGGGACAGTTCTGCTCAGTAATTCCCATGTGTTGTTGAAGCGTTATCCATTTTCACCTGGTAATCTACCAAGGACCTATTAATGGGCTTCCATCTCTAACTTACTTGCAAAAGGTATCTTGGGTATTACCATACATAAAATATACAACTAGACACTTTCCTATCTTTCTTAGTGTTTCCAGTTACACAGGTCTGGAAAAAGCTTGGGGGAAGTAAAAACGCTGCTTTTGCAGTTTCTCACAGGGTTGCTTATAAATATTCAGAAATGATAGAAAACTATCTACTGTGCATAAACCTCTGTTTCTAACTTTGAAAAACAGAAGGGAAGAAAAACTCTTGGACCACCCTCTTTCTCTACTCTTAGACAATTTCTGCACAATGGTCTTCTTAACTTCAATGATGGGCAGTCATAATGCAAATTATATTGGTGACAATAAACACAACAACAGACTTCTGATATCAAAAAGAGGCAAAAATCTCTCCTGGGCCACTTCTTCCCAGACATCATAGATCTCAGTTTCTCAGAATTTTGAGATCAATTTTCTTTAAAAAATGGTGAAGAAACTACAACTTTATCTGAGATTCTATGGTTAGAAAGTTTATGTGACTCTAGGAAGCCAGGAACAGGTATTTTATTTCCACATGATAGGATGAAAATACATAACTGTAGGTTCATTGTGCCAGGATCAACACATTGCTTTACAATGTTTGTTAAGTCTCTTAAGATATTTCTTTTCTGACTCCCCTTCAATATAATTTACCTTAGTAGTCATGATCCTTCTTATGACTCTGCTTGATAATTTCTTACCACTGACTTGTTGACATTTTTATAAAGAGAATTTTAATTTCAACACCCAAATGCCCATGTGTATGATTTTTACACTGTAAGACCAGTAGGGGGTGAGGGACATTTAGATTTTAAACATTTAAATATATTTAGAACACCTTTCTCCAATGTAATTATTAGAAAGCAATTACTGGGACTGGGGATGTAGCTCAGTGCTTGATTGCTTGCCTAGCATGCACGAAGCCCTGAGTTTGATCCCCAATGAAATAAATAAAAGCAATTATAATCCACTATAATTCATATTGCACACACACAAAAAACCTCCCAGCTCATTGGGTCAAAGACAGACATAATGTCAACTGGACATTTAAAATGAAAAAAAAAAAGATTAAAAAGACGTTCACTGAAACATGTTATAGTAATCAAAACTAAATCTGTCTTGGAGAGCAAAGGAAAGCCAAAATGCTTACCGAATACTAGCGTCATGTGTTAGAATGGATGCTTCGTATTTCATAATCTCTTCTACCATCTTCTTGGAATTCTGGGTGGCAGTCTCTATCATATCTGTAAGAGGAGACCAAAACCAGAAAATAAGCAAACAAAACAACAACAAAAGAACTTCTTGAACAATTTTCTCAGGTGGCCCCTAGTCCTTAGTTTCTCACTTGGCTTTTTTGGCTGATCTGGATTATAGCTGATCTGGATGGCTTTGATGAGTTCTTTGGCTTCTGTTGTTTTGTTTTCAACTTGATTTAAGATGTCTTCCAAACTCTGCAGGTCCTTGTCTACATTGCTTTGGTAAGTAGATAGGAAATCTGCGATGCCACAGGTAGTTGGACAATAACTACCCTGCAAACAGAAGCAGCAAGGGACCAGACATTTGAACAAGAGCAACACTTAAAACCTATCCATTAAAAAAAAAATTAATAGGTCAACGATATTTTTAAAACATTAAACGGTATTTGTGGAAGAATTGCTCCTGTTTCCTCCCCTCTCCAACAGAACGCAAGAAACATAAACGCTACTTACAAATCTTTCATCTAAGATGCAGCAGTTGTCTCTGGTAGCCACATACTAAAAGGAGAAAAGTACGAAATGTCACTAGTCACCATTTGCTTTCTTATGTTTCGGCTTTCTGTTTAAAAGAAGGTGTTTTATGAACAGCACACTTACTGCCAGGCATGCTGGAGAGAACAGGAGAAGGCTGGAGAGGTACAGAATTAAACTCCGGGGTTGTAGGGACAAACCCATGATGCCTGGGGCGCCTGGCGCTTCGAGCCCTGAACTGTCAGCGCTGTGAACTCCTGGGCTCCCCCTGTGCCTTTATATAAGGTCCAGGGCTGGCCGCGATGGCTACTGGAGGGAGCTGATCACGGGGTCTCCTTACCGGAAGGGTGGGCACCTCTTTCCCGTCTCTTTTTCCTCCTCCTGGCCCCAACCTGTGCTCAGTCAGGTTCCCAGATTTTGCACCCCGGTTTAAGCTCCTCCTTTTTTGGCCCAGCTCAAACTTCTCCCTGTGATCCAAAAATCTCCCAGAGCAGGTGAAGCTTTAGCCACTGTTTTGGGGGGGGGGGGGGTGAGGCGGGGAGCTGCGTGTTGCAACCTCTTCCCGTAGGCAGCAGAGAGAGCAAACACAGATCCCAAGTCCACCCGAGCAAACTCTGCCTGTCCTTAAGATGGGGCCTGCCGCCATAACCTAAATGACCCACAGACCTTTCTTAGCCCAGGGATGAGGTGACAACATTCTCTCTAACCTGCGGCTGTGGCAGGACTTTGCCTCCCACCATGACCCAATTCAGTAGTCCCAGGATGAATGACACTGGAAAGGGCCTTCTTGTCCCTCTGGGTTGACTGTGACCCTCTGACCTCCATTCTCAATGAGCTCTTGAGCTCGACTTGTCTCTTTGACTGGTAGAACCGGCTGCCACCAAGGGAAAATGAGCAAAGAGCCCGCTTGTTTTTCCTGAGGTTCCATCTGGTTACCTCTGGATGCAGAGGCAGGGGCTAGGAAAATCTTTCTCCCTGACTAGAAGCAAAGCTGAAGGAAAAGAGGCAAAATGCGATATTAGAAAAGGGCCATCATCTCTGCCCTGTCGCTAGAGCTTCTTTGTGTATTGGGAAAGGACATCCACCATCAACTATTGATAATTTATAATCGTGCATTATCGCTATTATTGATGTCCCTATTTTGGATTATCCCTCATTCCCTCCTCTGACACCAATTAAATTTTTTTTTTTTTTTGTACCAGGGATTGAACACAGAGGTGCTTAACCACTGAGCCACATTCACAGCCCTTTTTATTTTTTATTTTGAGAAATAAGTTGCTGAGGCTGGCCTTGAACTTGTAACCCTCCTGAGTTACTGGAGTTACAGGCATGCTCCACCATTGTCCGGCTAAATTTTGATAAACCATAAAAGTGGGAGAAATATGTTTAGCATGAAAGAAATACTAACATTTTAATGTTCTAATCTAATTCTTTACAAAGGAAGCTTATGTTTTGATTTGAAAACAGATAAATGTTCACATTCTATAGCTAATCAATAATTATCAAAATAAAGTGTATCTACCAAAATCAGATTTACCTTTCTTTGTTCCTTAATATTCCCCTCTTACTATTCAGTTAATGCAATCATATCATCATATCACGTAACTAATTAAAAGTCTGCTACCTGATCTCCCTTCCTTCAGTCCAGTCATTCCTCCAAACCATTTGGCGGTGTTTTTTGTTTGTTTATTTGTTTGTTTTGTTTTGTTTTTTGTTTTTTGTTTCTGGTACCAGGGATTGAACTCAGGGGCCTTCAAGCACTGAGCCACTTTCCCAGCCCTTCTTTATATTTCATTTAGAGAAGGGTCTCAGTGAGTTGCTTAGCGGCTCACACTTGCTGAAGCTGGCTTTGAACTCATGATCTTCGTGCCTCAGCCTCCCCAGCTGTGGCATTATAGGCATGTGCCACAGCATGTGCCACACCCGGCTCCAACCATTTGCTAATCTTCCTATAATGTAGCTCCAATTATGACATTCATCTGCTCAAAAGCTTTCAGTGACTCCCTACTTCCCATCATAGTGAATGTAAATATCATAAATGTCTCCTCCTATCCTTGCTGTTTTTTCTCTCTGGATCGTATTTCCTATACCTTCTAGTCTAACCAAATTGAATCACATAACATCTCCTTATTGTGCACCATATGGTCCTATCTGTGATCAAGGTTTTCATTTTTCAATGTAGCTCCTTCTGCCCGTTTGGGCTTCAGAAAGACTGCTAGCTCTCTGGCTGTCACAATTGTACATGTCCTTAAAATTTGTTTTATGATTCCCCCCTCCCCACCCCACCCGTGCCAAAACCTTGGGAGCAAGCTCTACCTCTTTCATAGCATTGATAGTGACTTTGTGTTATACACATACATGTCATATTGATCTCACTAGATTTAAACTCATCTTTATGGCCACAGCAACTCATATAAAAATATTTAATATTTATCTGATGACTTCAATTGGGCTGAAAGTCATTCTTTGAAGTTTAAATTTCTAATACTTCTCAGAACTCCTAAGCCACAAAAATAAGCAACAAAGGTAATGATTAAAGAAATGATTGACTATCCATATGGATGAATATGAAACTATCTTTTAAGTGAATGAGGAAACTCTAATTTAGTCACATGGAGCAATATCCAACATATTGTTAGGAAAAAGGAAAAAGCATTCTACCATTTGTGATTTTTAAAGACAATAGAATGTATCAACATACATGTGAGCACTTCCATTGGATGGACTTTTCAAGAGTGCAGGTCAATTTTAGCCAGTGTTTATCTCTATGGAAAGGTATGGGGTGAGATGATGATGGACAGGGTTGGGAGAAATTCTTCATTACTCTGTATACTTAGTATCTTTAGAATTTTGAACATAGTCACATATTATCTACTCTAAATTTGTAATGAAAATCTGCAATGATTGATCACTCACAATGATTTGTTTTCTGTGCTAGTGATTACATGATGATGATGATGATGATGATGATGATGGGTGCTGGTGATTGAACCCAGGGCTTAGTGTATGCATGCTAGGCACATACTCTACACTGAGCTAAACCCCACACAATTCCTCTGATTATTTTTTGATTTGAATATAAAAGATGACTTAGTTTTTTGCCTTTGATTTTAAGGAGAATATAATCCAATTGGAGAGTACAGACATTAATTGGTAAGGGTTCTGGAGTCCACCTGCCGGGCTTTGAATCTCATCTCCACACCTTACTAGCTGTGCCACTCAGTACAAGTTACTAAACCTCTCTTGGTTTTATAGTCCATGTTGGTAGAATGGAAATAGTGCTTTTAGGGGTAAGAGGGAAGTAAAGGGGGGCATGAGGTAGGAAAGACAGTGGAATGAGATGGACATTGATACCCTAAGTACATGTATAAAGACACGAATTGATGTGAATATACTTTGTATACAACCAGAGATATGAAAAATTGTGCTCTATATGTGTAATATGAATTGGAATGCATTCTGCTGTCATATATAACAAATTAGAATTAAAAATTAGTGCTATTATTTACTTATTTGGACTGTTCCCAGGATTCAATGGGATAAATACACTGAATGCATTGTCTGATTCACAAAGAATATTAGGTGAATGTTTATAAGGTTTATCAATTACTGAATGGTTTAGATATAAAATTTTTATAAATAGTAATTTCATTTCATACCATTGTAAGAGTGATCATTATTGGTATATTTGGTTCATGGGAAATGAGTTGTTCAAGTTGTAGAAGTTCTTTTTAATAAATCATCTGTGGCAACTAACTATAATCTATGATGCCACCTAGAAAAAGGAAAACTTGATTGTCTAATTTAGATGGAAATTACTTAAACATTCACTCCACCAATCACAGATCAAATGATGATAGAACTAGATTGCATGCCTTAAGAGAAGTCATACTTTTATCAGTAACAGTGTTTAAGCAAAGTTTGTTCAGACAGAGCATGTTGTCATTATGGATCTTCTTACTGAAGAACATAAAGTATTGATATATTGAATCTGAGGTTATGACTCATTCAGCCACAGGTTGGGTTTTGAACTTCTTGACTTCATACAATTTCTTTAGAAGCATCAATGTATATAATATGCCAAAGGTTGATAGGTAGAGGAAATAAAAATTCTTATATCATTTTAGATTTGGAATACTTGCATTCTTTCCTTTTTACTGACTTGGATTGGAATTTGAGGTGCATGGTCAGAATTTTAGGAAATAGATTTATTTTTTAAACCACAATCTCAAGTTCTAAATTAGAATAATACTAAACAAGATGATTTTTGAGAAAAAAAGTGGCCAGGAGTGATTTAGTGACCTACTTTGGTTCTGCATTGTCTAGTATCATTTAGGTTTATTAAATTTTAACTAGTTATTCTCCTCCATGTTTGAACCAACTTTTTCTTTGATAAATGATTAATGAATTCCAGGAAAGAAGAATATTTCTTAAATCCAATTTACTCCACTTGTAGGTTTGTTTCCTGAGAAAATAGCATACGTATTATTTAAGCCAACACAATAATTTGATTTGTTTCACAAGTCAGTGGGTTTATTTATCAAAGTAATAATTTTTGAAATTCCCTAACATCCAACTGTGTACTGATTTGAAGATACATCTACTACTAATGGTCTTCCCGTAAATTGATAATTCCCTCTCTGAGTCCCTTGCCTGTTTTGCTTACCTCTGCTCCAGAATATTTGCTGAATTTGAATTTGATTATGGAGAGTAAGTTCATCTGTGAAGATGACTTGTTTACCCAGTGATAAATGATATAGACCTTCAGGACTGATAGAGTCACTGATTTGGAGCATATTCTTCATGCTAGATGTGTCATGCTGCAATTTAGTTCTTTGTGTTTTGTGCATTCATTCATTTACTCCTTACAATGAGCTTTGGAGGTAAATATGATCTTATGAAGGAGAAAAGAGAGTCATACAGAGGCTATATGACATAGGCAAGGTCACTGTGCCAGAACAGGAATTTAATCCCAAGGGGCCCAAGATCATGTAACCCAACACCTGAGCCTTCAGCTCAGCTTCAATCATGAAGCACTTAATTTAAATTGGTACAGAGATACAGGGTATTATAAGAATCGAAGTATTCACTGATGGGATAGGTTTTAGCAGCATTTATAGATTTTAAAAAGTAGTGTGTGTGTGTGTGATTACATGAACATGTATTTACATTTATTTATTGTCTGTCTCTTTCTGTGAGTTAAAGTTCACCATGATCTTTTACAGTCCTTCACGAATCTACATTTTTATTGTTTTATGATTAGTTTGTGTTTTCAGTTCAATTT